TTGGTTGGCCTTGTAGCTGTTTTAAGTGCTCTATAAATAAAATGGTGCAAAAAAAAAGAAAGAAAGATCAAAGCGACTTCTGAATTCACATTGAACGGCTATCAGTACACAGTCTATATTATTATTATATTTATTATTATTATATTTATTATTATAGTTATTATTATTATTGAGCAGGTGGTGGTGTAGCGATAAGTGAAGACAAGCCTGTGATTGAGAGGTTGTAGATTCAAATCCCCGGACCGTTACAATAAAATTTGTTGGGAAAGGTGACGCATCCATATCTGTCTCCGCTCTCATTTGCCCCATTGGGGGCCCTTAACTCCCCCAGGTCCTCCCCAGGTGCCTCAGATAGCAGCTCTCGGCTCCACACATGGGCTGTGGTAGCTCACTGATCGATGGTTGTGTTAAAAAGAACATCTGGGGTAAAACAAATCTTCAGGCAAGCTTGCTATGGTGACCCCTGAAGAAGGGAACAGCCAAAAGAAAAACAATATTATTTAGATTTCTACACATAATAAAAATTGGTACCTTTGTATTCTTAAAAATACTAAATGATGCTAAATGATAGTCAAATTAACACTTTTTGTTGCAGTATAAAAAGAATTAAAGATAAGTGTGAAGTTGTGGGGAGTGATGGGCCAAACTGGAGCCGACTCCTAAATCTGGCCACCAACTCTTGGCTCCACTCTGGTTATATAAGACATTCTTTACTAATGACCTTTTCCACTGGGTTGGACTGATCTTCTTATCTGACTTTAAACCATTCTTCCCCCCACTTTGGTTAAAAACTGCAACAGAGCAGCAAGTTCTGGAGTAAATGTTGTTTTTGGGTAAGATGTTTATTGTTTGTTTGTTTGAGATCAGCTGTATTACTGTCATGGGTGGTCAGTGATTAGAGCTGTTACCTTACAGCAACAAAGGTTACAAGATGAAAACTGGATGTTCTCAGTGCAGGGGTGGGTTGTCTCCGGGTACCCCAGTTTTCTCCAACAGACCAAAAACATGCATGTTGAACTGGCACTTGGTGTTAGAGATGGGGTGAATCTTTGTCTAGGTTGTTTCCTGAAATGGAATGGTGACATTTGTCCTGACTTTGTATGCTGCCTCTCACCCAGTGACCACTGGAGACAGGCATCAACTCCACGCAAACTTCTTCTTTTGGCTTTTTCCTCTTCAGGGTCTCCACAGCGAGTCATCCTCCTCCATCGCACTCGAACTACCTCCATGTCCTCTCTAACTGCATCCATATATCTTCTCTTTGGCATTCCTCAATTACTTTTTCCTGGTAGCTGAATTTCAAACATCCTTCTAGCAATATACCAATTGTCCCTCCTCTGGACATGTCCAAACCACTGTCCCTCCTCTGGACATGTCCAAACCACTGTCCCTCCTCTGGACATGCCCAAACCATCTCAGTGTGTCCTCTCTAACTTTATCTCCCAGTTGTTCAACCTGTGCTAGACCTCTGATGATCTCATTCCTGATCTTCTCCATCCTTGTCTCTCCTAAGGAGAACCTCAACATCTTCATTTCTGCCACTTCCAGTTCTGTCTCCTGTCTTTTTGTCCATGTCTCTGTCTCCAGACTACACAACATAGCTGGTCTCACCACTGTCTTGTAAACTTTTCCTTTGACCTTTGCTGACACCCTTTTGTCACAAATCACTCCTGAAACTTTTCTCCATCACTCCATCCTGCCTGGACTGTCTTCTTCTCCTCTTCACCACACTCCCCATTTTCCTGGACAGTGGACCCCAAGTCCTTGAAGTCCTGCACCTTTGTGACCTCTGCTCCTTGTAGCCTCACTGTTCCACCTCCTCCCTCTCATTCACACATGGACTCTGTCTTACTACGGCTGACTTTCATTCCTCTTCTTTCAAGTGCATAGTTCCACCTCTCCAAGTTCTCTTCCACCTGTTCTCACCACAGATCACAATGTCATCTGCAAACATCAACGGGAATCCCGGCCTGACCTCATCCGTTAGTCATTCCGTCACCAGAGCAAACAAGAAGGGGCTCAGAGCCGATCCTTGATGGACTCCCACCTCCAACTTAAAGGTATCTGTCACTCCTACAGAACATCTCACCGCTGTCCTGCTGTCCTCATACATGTCCTGCTGTCCTCATACATGTCTTCTACCAGTCAAACATACTTCTGTGCCACTCCAGATTTCTTCATACAGCACCACACCTCCTCCCTCGGCACCCTCTCAGATGCTTTTTCTAAATCCACAAAGACACAATGGAGTTCTTCCTGACCCTCTCTGTTCTTCTCCATCAACATCCTGAAAGAAAATATGGCAGCTGTGGAGCTCTTTCTTGACATGAAACCACTGCTGATCACAGTCACCTCTCGTCCAAGTCTTGCTTCCACAACTCTCTCCCAGATCTTCATCATGTGACTCATCAACTTAATTCTCCTGTAGTTGCTACAACTCTGTACATCACCCTTGTTCTTAAAAATGGCCACCAGCACACTTCTTCTCCATTCCTGAGCCATTTTCTCACCCTCAAATATGCGTTTGAATATTTGAGACAAAAACCTCACTGCCATCTCTCCAAGACATTTCCAAACCTCCACTGGTCATCAGGTCCTACTGCCTTCCTCTTCTTCATTCTTTTCAGAGCTTACCAAACTTTACAGTCACTAATTTTTCCTACTACCTGGACCACAGAAACTCAATTCCATGCAAACATGCACAGAAAAATGGATGGATGGAATATTTTTCTATTCAATTCAGTTTATTTATTATAGCTCAAAGTCACAAAAGAAGTCGTCTCTGAGAACTGTACAAAAACATTCACATACATTAAGAAAAACGTCAATAAATAAAATGTATCTATCCGAGGATGTGGCAGATTGTGTTGAATCTTCACTTAGTCACAGTCTCCCATCCTGAGCGAGCACAAAGGAGACAGTGGAAGGAAAACTCCCTTTAACAGGAAGAAACCTCCAGAAAAACCAGGCTGAGGACGAGCGGCCATCTGCTTCAACCGGCTGGTTTGAGAGGACAGGAAGGGGAACCAGACAAACACCATACCATTTTATTTATAGAGCACTTAAAACAGCTACAAGGCCAACCAAAGTGCTGTTTGGTTGATAAACACAGAATGACAGGTCCAGGTGAACTTTCTATAAGAGGAAAGACAAAAAACATGTTAAGATAAAAATAATTACAAATACAAACAGGGAGAGAAGAGCAAGTAAAGACTGCAGCAGAGAGAGGAAATGCCAGTTTGTCCTCCAGCAGCCCCTTTTCCATTAGTACCTTTATTTTTATTAAACCTTTATTTAATCAGATAAAAACCTACCCAAGACCTCTTTCACAAGGGTGATCTGGCAGAGAACAAGAACTTTAGTACCCGTGCAGCACAGTTCAACTTGGCTCGATACGGTACAAGTGTTTCCATAGCCCCTTTCAGTACTGGTTACAGTGGGCCAAGTGGTACAAATTCACGCTCCTTACCAGCTGGTGGCGGTAAGACGTTGAAACAGGTTTCAGTACAGGGTGAGAATTTATTTAGAAGTTTCTGGTAAATTAAAAATAATACAGACTCTTAAAATGATCAAATTAAAATAAATAAATATGCAGTATATATACATCCATTATCTTATTCCATTTTTGGTCACGGGGGTCGCTGGTGCCCATGTCCAGCAGTCACTGTGTGAGGGGCGGGGTACACCCTGGACAGGTCTCCAGTCCATCACAGGGACACATAGAGACAAACAA